AAAAAAAAAAAAAAAAAAAAAAAAAAAAAAAAAAAGAAGAAGAAGAAGGGAAGGAAGGAAGGTAAGAAGGAAGGAAAAAAAACAAACCAGTTTGGGCCGGACGTTGGTGGCGTATGCCTTTAATCTCAGCACTCGGGAGGCAGAGGCAGGCAGATCTCTGTGAGTTTGAGGCCAGCCTGGTCTCCAGAGCGAGTGCCAGGATAGGCTCCAAAGCAACACAGAGAAACCCTGTCTCGAAAAAACCAAAAAAAACCCACTTTGGTCTCTAAATGTACACAGTGCTTCAGTAACTAGAAAATGACATGATTTTAAATTGTGTTTTTCAGAATGATGTCCCAGGAATGCTAGCTTACAGCCTCAAGCTCTGCATGTCTTTAATGCAGAATAAGCAGTTTCGGAATAAAGTATTGAGAGTCCTGGTTAAAATCTACATGAACTTGGAGAAGCCCGATTTCATCAATGTTTGTCAGGTACTTCTCCATCACCTTACTCCATGCTACACCACTGCCCCACTGCATGTTACAGCATAGTCCTCAAGTTTTGTTATGCTGAGTTGCTATGATGGCTTTATACAGGTAACTCAGTTGATGGCTACCCATCCTGTGAGGATAAGATACATTATTGCTACAATATATTATTTGTATCTATATATATTCTTTATTCAGTTTGATATAATCTATGGTCTCATTACTCAAAACACAACTAAACATTGGGTATATTTTATTTCTTTTAATTTTTCTGTACCACTTAAAATTTTCAAGTAGTATAGAAAACATGAAATAAAGCCTGATTTTTTCCCTTCTCTTCTCTTAGGCCTTTCCCGAAAGATGATGGTACATGTTCTCCCCAATTTACTGCACATTTAGGTCTACTGTACTCTGCTCTGTGTCTCTGCAGCTTTCACTGACTGGAGATATGCATGGTTTGCTTTGAAGCAACTAATATACTTTATTTACTTTTATATACTGCTTAAGAGCATAGCATTTTATTTCATATTCAGTGTAGTGAATATGATTATATATGTGTAATTATATATGTGTGTGTTACATATACGGATGTCCCCCTTAAAAAATGATTCAGAATGTAATTTGAGATAGAAAGTACCTGAAAAAATGTCCACATTAAAATTGCTTCAAGTCAACACAGGGTACTAAGTTGGGTTTTTTTTTTCTTTTTTTTTTTATGTCACCTACAGTCAGTTTAGTATTTAACATTGTATTTCTTTTTACTTTTCTTTGCATGTTTTTGCAGTTCTGTTTCTAAATTATTATTTTTTAATGCTCATATATAATGGTTCTTTGCCCTTCTGTGTCAACTTTTTTCCTTATAGACAATAGTACTTTAGGTGTTTTACCTCCTTTAGTGACTTACTGTGGTTATTCAGTACATTAACCCTGCCTTACTTAAGCATTCCTTACTAGACACTTTGTTCCCATTATTTCCTGTTCCTAATTTATAATAATTTTGATTATATGTTCTTCTTGAAATTAAGTAATTTGCTACTTATGAGAGAATAATAACACTTAAGCTGAATTTTTTAAAAATTAAACTGGTTATTGAAAGGTTAGTTTTGTTTAAACATATGGAAGATTTTAACAGAAGTAAGGGAAATGCTTTAAAATGATCATTTTGATTCTTGTGTTCTAGCACAGCAAAGTACAATATGTGTTAAATCAATGATTGGTTCTTAACATTATATGGCAGTAGAGAAAATACAGGTTATAGAGTACTAGATATAAATTATAGACAGGGAGTGGTGCACACACCTCTGATCCCAGCACTCAGGAGGCAGAGGCAGGTAGATCTATTGATAGTCTGATCTACAGAGCTGACCTAGGACAGCCAGAGCTACCCAGAAAACTGAGTCCTAACAAGCCAAATAAATAAATACAAGAATAAATTGTGGGTGTGATTAAAGGAAGTGAAGATTGCTGGGTGTGGTGTGCACACATTTAATCATAGTCACTCAGAAGGCAGAGCCAAGCAAATATCTGTTTGAGCCTGAGATTAGCCTGGTTTACATATATAACAAGTTCCAAGCCAGTCAGATAGTTAGAGATACATAATGAGATCCTGTCCCAAAAAAAAAAAAAAAAACAGAAAATTGATTCAGAAGCTAATATTGATTGCTACTAGCCACAAAGTACAACATTAGGACTGAGTGTGATTTTTAGGAAAAATTTCTTAATGTTGGATTCTGAAATGGAATGCTAGACTAGATAAGTCTTTTCTGGTTTGTATTGTGGACTATTTGTTGTATTCTAAGTTTTTTCATATGAAGTTTTCAGTTACTGTATGCTTGTTCTTTATCTCTATTTCAGTGCTTAATTTTCTTAGATGATCCTCAGGCCGTGAGTGATATCTTAGAAAAGCTGGTAAAGGAAGACAACCTGTTGATGGCCTATCAGATTTGTTTTGATTTGTATGAAAGTGCTAGCCAGCAGTTTTTGTCATCTGTAATCCAGAATCTTCGAACTGTTGGTACCCCCATTGCTTCTGTGCCTGGATCTACTAATACGGGTACTGTGCCAGGATCAGAGAAAGACAGGTATAAGTATCTTCTTCTATATCAACATTAGCTGCACAGTCGTTATTTCATTTGGGGACTACATAGAAAATTTATAGATAGTAAGAATAAATAAGTTTAACTATTAGCTTCTATAGATTGTCCTATAGTAGTCAAAGTAAGGATGGCCAAAGTAAACTTCTGTCAAGAAAGAAAGGATTGGATAGTTGGGTAAGTGTGTTAGATAGCATGTGGCTACTTTGTTGTATTAAAATAATGGGAATACTTGTCTCAGATATACCTGGGCTAACTAGTAAGAAATGTTCTGGGCTTTGCATTTCTATTCAAGCCAAATAAATAGTATGTTAGACTCATACAATATGCAGTTTGCCCCACATATCCTTCTACATTTAGACCAGTTACTTAAGATGTTATGTCTTGACTACTTCAGTATATTTTTCTCCCCAAATTGTCTGGTTAGCAGTAATAGTCCTTGTTTTGAAACCTCTTAAGATCTTACTTCCCTCTCAGCTGTTAATGTTTCATACATTTCAAACAATATTCTGTGTATATGAAGTATCTTCGAGGCTCTACAATTATATCCACAGGCTCTGCATTGGCTGGCCAGACTGGTTGGAGAGAGGGTCAGTCCCTAGACAATACAGTATAACCACTAATAATACATGGTGTGCTGATTAGGGTTTTTTCAAACATGACAACAGTTTTCTTAAATCCTCATATTCATAAGTATATTATAGTTTTTGATCCTATTATGTGGTATTTTAACATTTATTTCCATTTTTTTTTTGTTGTTGTTGTTGTTGGTACTATATGGAAATAATTATAGTTTTTGATCCTATTATGTGGTATTTTAACATTTATTTCCATTTTGTTGTTGTTGTTGTTGGTACTATATGGAAATAATTTTTTTTTTTCTCTTCCAAGACAGGGTTTCTGTGTATAACAAACAGCTCTGGCTATCCTGGGACTAGCTCTGTAGACCAGGCTGGCCTTGAACTCCCAGAGATCCGCCTGCCTCTGCCTCCCGAGTGCTGGGATTAAAGGCGTGTGCCACCAACTCCTGGCCCTTCTTTTTATTTTTTTAAAGAAAGATTCTCACTATGTAACCCTGGCAAGGTACAACACATTGTGTAGACCAGGCTGGCCTTGAACTCACAGGGCTCTCTATCTGTCCCTACATCCTTAATGCTGGAATTAAAGGCATGTGCTACCATGCCTATAATGTCTCATATAATAATATTGGATAGGATTTTACTTTAGTCATTTTCTATGACTTATTTTTACTAAAACTAGCTTTCCTAAACTTTTACAGAGGTGGCTTGTTTAGGCCATTTTTCTAATTTCTGTGTTCCCTAAAACTCTCTTGTGTTGTGTTTCCTCTGCCCAGTATTTTCTCTAAACATTGTGCTTTGACCCAGAGGGCAGTGTGGGCTTTTTAGTTTTAAAGTTGTGGGGGTCCCAGATAGTACCTAAAACTCTTTTTTAGCTGCTGCTGGTTCATCTCCACTGGACTTTTTTGGGAGTGGACAGCATACTTTTTAGTCTCCCGTTTTTTATGTATTTATTATTCACAAAGTTTGCTAACTTAGATTTGTTTGTTTGTTTTAAAGAGTTTATTTGGGGGAAATTCAATATCTGTTTCCTCCATCTTAGAGATATAAGAATCTTCTTCCTTAATAATACCCACAAAGTAAATATTATTTCCTGTAGAATAATTTGGGTGTAATTGAAATCTACCCTATAACTAAATTGCTGATGCATTGAAATGTTGATGGTTGGCTTTCCTCATTTTAGTGACCCTATGGAGACGGAGGAGAAGACAGGCAACACACCGGTAGGAAAGACACCGGATGTGGTGAGTGACCTTTGGTTACTGTGCAAAGCAGCCTCAAAGGGGATTTTCTTCTCTTTTTGGCGGGGTGGTGGGGAGGCAGGGGAGACTGTCACTGTGTAGCCCTGCTGGGATTCTGTAATAAGTGTTACACTACCATGACCAGCACATTGTTTTAAATACATGATATATATTTGAGTTTTTGAAATTTTTATGCCAGAGTCATTTTATAAAAATGGATTTTCTGAAAAAAGTAGTTTTGAAAATTCATCCAGAGAACCCAGGTTCAATTCCAGCACCTACATTGTGGTTCACAACTGTCTGTAACTCCAGTTTTAGGGGATCCTATGCCCACTTCTGGTCTCCATGGGCACCTGACATTCAAGTGGTTCACAGCCTTTCCGTGAAGGCAAATACCTATACACATAGAATAAAAATAAACAAGTCTTTGGTTTTTCAAGACAGGGTTTCTCTGTGTAACAGCTATAGCTCTCTTAGAACTCTAGACCAGGCTAGCCTTAAGCTCACAGAGATCCCCCTGCCCCTGAGTGCTGAGATTAAAGACATGCACTACCACTGCCCAGCTAAACACATCTTTAAAAATAAGTAAAAGAGTCGGGCAGTGGTGGTGCACACCTTTAATCCCAGCACTTGGGAGGTAGAGGCAGACAGAGCTCTGAATTTAAGACCAACCTGGTCTATATAGAGAGTTCTAGGACAGTCAGGGCTGCACAGAAAAACCATGTCTTGAAAAAGATGGATGGATGGATGGATACATGCATGCATGCATGCATACATGCTACCTTGGGGGCCTGGGAGGTAGCCTAACTGTTAGAAGTGTATGCTGCTCTTTCAGAGGACCTTAGTTTGGTTCCCAGCACCCATGTTGGGAGGCTTATTTCAGTGGAATGTGATAAAGAAAGGAAATTGTAGCCGGGAGGTGGTGGCCTTTAATCCCAGCACTCAGGAGGCAGAGGCAGGCGGATCTCTGTGAGTTCGAGACCAGCCTGGTCTACAAGAGCTAGTTCCAGGACAGCCTCCAAAGCTACAGAGAAACCCTGTCTCAAGAAAGAAAGAAAGAAAGAAAGAAAGAAAGAAAGAAAGAAAGAAAGAAAGAAAGAAAGAAAGAAAGAAAGAAAGGAAATTGAGTTTCTTCTTAGTTGAATTTTTTAGATCCTATCATTAAAATATGAGGGAAGAAGGGTGTGTGTATAAGTGTGACTGCTTTCATTGGTTTAAGGCTGATGGAATAAAATTGGCTTAGTAAATTTCATTGATATTTGAATTTTCATTCTTTTTTGTTTGGCAGAGTCCAGAGCCCAAGGACCAGACATTGAAAATGATTAAAATTTTAAGTGGCGAAATGGCTATTGAATTACACCTACAATTCTTAATACGAAATAATAACACAGACCTCATGATTCTGAAAAACACAAAGGTAGAACATTTCCCATAATGGAGCATTGTTTTATATCTTGTTGAAGGCTTTGTTTTGTTTCCTGTAATTGAGGAAATGTTAACGTTTTTGTAAAAATAGCAATGAGTGTGGCTGAACTCAGTGCAAGAACGTCTCCTGAACATGTGTGAATGTGTCCTGGATTTACTCCCCAGCACTAAAATAGATCAGTGAGTGGGGAAAACTCATTTATTGGAAGGAAAGAAATTAACAAAGATTGAGTTCCTTTTTTTGTGCTAGTTTCTTGTTGAGAAATGTGGTGAATTTTTTTAAAAAATATATTTTTATCCTTTTGTATTCACTTAACAGTTGAACATGATAGCATAATCAAAACTTTGTTGTTACATTATTGAGATATTGATCCTAACAAATTTTAATTTTTGATTAGGCATGATTACTATTTAGTTTAGAAATTTTCTAAAGGGCTAGAGTGATAGGTAGCTTAGTTGGTAAATGCTTAGTTGTTTTTCAAACACAAAGACATGAGTTCAGTACCCAAAACCCACAAAAAAATGGTGAATGTGATGTAAATGTTTGGAACACTGGTGATGGGGAACACAGATGATTCCTTGGGGCTCACTAGCCAACCATCCTATCCTACTGAACTCCAAGTCAATGAGAAACCCAGTCTCCAAAAGCAAGGTGGTTAGCTCCTGAGGTGACAGGTGTGCTCCCGTATGAACACACATACATACATATATGTTATTTTCAAGGCAAGTAGCTCATCTATTATTGCTATGCCCACTGCTCTCTTTGCAGTATACTAAATAAACTTGTTTTTCTTAGAAGTAAAAAGTTTTCATGTAAAAAGATAAATAGCATTAAAAAATCTTTCCTTCTTCCTTATTCAGTATCCCTTCCCAGAAACATTTATTCTTTTCTTACAGCCATATACTGTTCAGTGACTAAACGGTGTTTGATTTAAACATGTATATAGTGCCTTTTGAAATCTTAAATTCATGTTTACAAATGGCAAAAAAGATACAGACTCATATAATTTGTAAATAAGTTAGGGCTTTGGAGGTAGTTCAGGAGTAGAGAGTGTGCCTGGAGTGTAAAAAGCCTTGTCTTATAACCCCAGCACTATAACTACATACCTACATTCATGGATTTATAATTCGGTGACTGAGAGATGTGCAGACCAGAAGAGTCCTAGCATTGCTACTAAAGTTACCCCAATACCTTGGAGCCCTTAAACAAGATGCTGAAGAGAAATAGAAATTTCTGAATAGTTAAACTATTCAGAAGAAGAGTAGGAAATCTGTAAATTCACACTTCAAATCTGTGATTGACCAGGTGTCATAATACAGACCTAGAGTCCATAGACTTAGGAGATGAAGACAGAAATGTCAGGAGTTCAAGCAAGTTCAGGCCTGTTTGGGCTGTGTGAATCCCTGTTCCAGAAAACAAAAATCTGATTGTGACCTTAGGTTACTAGTAATTGTACTGCAAATAATACTACTTGATTGTTTTGTTTTTGCAGACTAGCTATTTCATCTTTATATAAGGATTCATATTTTAAATCCCATTTCAGTTATTTTTTGATTTTGCTGCAAAATAGGATATGTGCGAGTATGTGCAAGTGTATGTATGTATAAATACTTTGCCAGTGATAAGAAGTCTGTGCTTGTTTTTGTAGGATGCAGTACGAAATTCTGTATGTCATACAGCAACTGTAATAGCAAACTCATTCATGCACTGTGGCACTACAAGTGACCAGTTTCTTAGGTAAATATGCCTGGAGAATTCCACTGTGGTGGATTTTTTTTTTTTTTTAATAAATTATCTGTATTCCTGTGTGTCTGTGGGTAGTGTATGTACAGTTGCATTTGGAGGCCAGAAGAGGGTGTCAGATCCCCTGGAGCTGAAGTTACAGGTGGTTGTGAGCCACTGACTTGGGTGCTGGGAACTGAACTTGGGTCCTCTTATAAAAATAGTACATGCTCTTAACCACTAAACTGTCACCCCAGCCCACCAAGTGGTTCTTAACCAAGGTTCCATTAATAGTATTTCTTATCATACTTCAGTAGTCTTGAATTTTAAGTTTGTTTTGCTTGTTGCATATACTTTTTGTTTTATATTTACTTATTTTAAAGTAAAATTAATTATTTTTATTAGTTGCCTTGGTAACTTGAAAGAAAAATTGATATGAATTAATATATAAATGTGTGATTTTTTCCTTATATTAAAAGTAGAATTATATATTATGCATTTTAAGAATCTTCAGAGCTGGGCATTGATGGCACACATCTTTAATCCCAGCACTGGGGAGGCGAAGGCAGGAGATCTCTGAGTTCCAGGACAGCCAAGGCTACACAGATAAGCCTATCTCAAAAAAACAAAAACTTGAGAATATTAACACATACATGTAATTACAGTGCTTGAGAAGCTGAGGCAGAAGGATCGCTGGTTGAAGACCAGTCTGGGCTATAGTGCTAGACTCTTTCGCCAAAAAGGGATCAGCTTACTTAGGAGGAAAGTTAGGATTAATAATGCTCAGGTTGCTTTTTTTTCTTATAGAGATAACTTGGAATGGTTGGCCAGAGCCACTAACTGGGCCAAATTTACTGCAACTGCCAGCTTGGGTGTAATACATAAGGTAATATATTTATTCATTGTGACTGACCATCAGAGAAGAAGCCCATTTTTCTGGGGCTAAGAAGTATAAGCTTATTCATTAACAGGTACATGTTGTCAGGTCAGATGAGTCCTTGGATACGGAAGGATAAAGAAGGCACTAAAAAAGTGTATTCTAATAGAAATCCTTTTCCTGTGATGACTAAGCCATTTGTAACAGTTTATCTTAGTTTGGGGTTTCTGTTGCTATGAAGAGACACCATAACCACTGCAACTCTTATAAAGAAAAACATTTAATGGGGTAGCTTACAGTTTCAGAGGTTTAGTCTATTATCATCATGGTAGGACATGGTAGACATGGTGTGGGGGAAGGAGCTGAGAGGAAGGAGCTTGATCTGCAGGCAACAGGAAGTAAACTGAACTAGCTGTAGCTTGAGCATAGGAAACCTCAAAGCCCGCCATCACAGTGGCATAGGCTTTGTATCCTTGGGAAACTCTCAGACAAGATTCACATATAGGGCAACAAGGGAAACAAACAACAGATATCTGCTAACCAAAAAATGGATTAGGGCTAGGTGCTAACACTCTGGAGCCAGGCCAGGCGTAGCCTGGAAATGCTGCCACAATTTTCTAACCAGGGTGTGCCTAGATCTCTTAAAGACTCATATTTGAGTGATGGAGTTGTTTGGATGAGAGCATGTTCTATTACCTGCATCAGCAAGTGGGCATTCTGTGAAGAAGATGGTACATTCCTCTACCTTTTTCTTACCTCTTGTGACAGGGTCATGAGAAGGAAGCCTTACAGTTAATGGCAACATACCTTCCCAAGGATACTTCTCCAGGATCAGCCTACCAGGAAGGTGGAGGTCTCTATGCATTGGGTCTCATTCATGCCAATCATGGTGGAGACATAATTGACTATCTCCTTAATCAGCTCAAGAATGCCAGCAATGATGTAAGTATTAGGATGAAAAACCAAATTTCCATTATTTGAGAGTCTAGGACAGTGGTTCTCAGCCTGTGGGTTACATGGGGATCAAATGGCCCATTCACATATCAGATATCCTGCATATCAGATATTTACATTGCAGTTCATAATGGTAGCAAAATTACAGTTATGAAGTAGTAATAATTTTACGGTTGGGGGTTTCCATAACATGAGGAATTGTATTAATGGGAAGGTATTAAATAGGAAGGTTGAGAACTGCTGATCAAGGAGGTTATATTATTTGCTCAGTATTTCAGTGGATAGATTTCTAAGGATTTGGGAATACCAAAAACAATACTTTCCATAGTAATTTAGGGCTTTATATTGATACTGTATTTCCTTGAGTTTTGGTTTTCTTGAGATAGGGTCTTGCTATTTAACCCAGGCTACTTTCCAACTCAGACGTTCTCCTACCTCAGCCTCCTGAGTGCCAAAATTATAGAAGTGAGTCATCACATTTTCCTTTTTTTCTTCTTTGTTTTTTAGAGGTAACTTTCTTTTTTTCTCTGCAAGTTAAAATTGTGCTTTTTAGTCATTTAAAACCAGGTGAAATAAGCAAGACATAGTTCCAAGTGTCCCTAAAACATACAGTAGTCTCATTTAACAATCTTGGAACGTTCTTACTGTAATGATCTTACTTCTCACATGGTTTAACTGTATCATTTTAAAGGAAATTCAGGATGTCCAAAATAGCATATACTCTGAGAAATCAGAATTATTGCTTATTTTAATCATTGATAAGTTGTTTTAATGTTATTCTTTTGAAAAAAAAAAAGTATTTAAGCAGTCCTGTTATTTTAAATGAACCTGAAATAGGATTTAGACTTTTAGCTTTCAGGTTCAAATGAGTTTTTAGAAAGTTGCCAGGATAGTAGTTAAATGAACCAGAACAACTTAGTCTCAAACTTGAGTGAAACAAATTGAGCCAAGAAGAAGGTCTGTCTTCTCTAACAAGCTCCTCACCCACAAGTTATCCATGTGTGTACACACACCTTTACCTCATTTCCTCTCAGGTGGGTTATGCACACACTACACAAACAACAAAACACTAGTAATAGAAGCCTTTTCTGTTTGAAGCAAAGATTCATAATCAGAAGTATCTTATATAACTAATGAGGATGTTGATGAACCAGGTTTTTACTAAAAGCAAAGCAACTCTGGGTGATGCATTACATATACGCAAGAGCTGATGCAGTATGTCTTCAGTAACCTATTGTCAGGATGACCAAACTTGAAATATTTTTGTTCTGGGATTTCTCTAATTGAAAACATTAAAATTCTAGGGGTGGAGTGTCCTATTTCCCTGGTTTCAGTTAGGGGAGGATGGGATCCACCAAGTTCAGCCAGTGGGAAAGGAATGTTCTCAGAGCAGTGCTGGGGTGCTGTCATCAGTGAGAGCGAACTGTACATTGAAATAGACAATCTCCAAAGCCTCCTTTTTCAGATGAAGACCAGCTTTGTGCTCTGACCCCATCACTCCTACTTGACAGCCATATTTAGTAGGTGCTTTCTTCTGAGCCCACAAACATTGCAGATTTCACCTGCCTGCCTCCTAATCATTTACTGGTATTTGCCTCTTAGTGCTGTTCAGTTTTTCTCCTGCAAATTTATGGAGGTGCACACTGTCTATTTTCTTTTCTCTGACATACTTCTCCAGTCACTGTTTGCACCAGCAGGCATCATAACTAAAATTGCTGGGGTTACTATGCAGCTCCTGATTATCTGATCTTTCTTAATGAGCCACCCTCTATATTTCCTGTCAAAATATTTTGACAGTTGTGAAGAAGGATCCACAGTTTAAGATCATCCTCAGCTCCGTAGTGAGTTTGAAACCAGCCTAGGAGAGATAAGGATCCACAGTTTAAGATCATCCTCAGCTCCGTAGTGAGTTTGAAACCATCCTAGGAGAGATATGTGTGTGTGTGTGTGTGTGTGTGGGTGGGGGAGAGAGAGAGAGAGAGAGAGAGAGAGAGAGAGAGAGAGAGAATTGATAAGTACTGTGTTCTAGATTATTAGAACCAATTTTTTTGCCCTAGATTGTTAGACATGGAGGCAGCCTGGGCCTTGGTTTGGCTGCAATGGGAACTGCACGTCAGGATGTATATGATCTGCTGAAAACAAACCTTTATCAGGATGATGCTGTGACAGGTAAGCATTTGTCACTGAAAACAACAACCTTTGTGATTAATGTAATTGTGAATTTTTTTTTATTGCCTTTTTATAGTCTCCTTAAAAAACTCAGGTTGAAGGGCTGGAGAGAGGTTAAGAGCACTGGCTGCTCTTCCAGAGGACCCAGGTTCAATTCTCAGCACCCACATGGTGGCTCACAACTGTCTATAGCTCTAGTTATAGGGGACCTGATACCCTCACACAGACATACTTGCAGGCAAAACACCAATGCACATAAAATAAAAATAAATAATAAAAAAACAGTATAAGAAAATTCTGCCTAGTTTTGCAGTTGGCATTGCATTAGGCAGGATGGAGAAGGCTAGTGTTGTCCTAAAATTTCAGTGGGTTTCTCTTGTTGAAGAGGAAGTGAATTTTCTGCATTAGTTGGTCTTGTTACTTTTTTTTTTTTTCCTTAATGTAGGCTTTCTTAAGGGGCATATCCAGAGTGTTCTAACAGAAATAATGTGTATAAACAGAAAGGTTTTGTTTGTTTGTTTGGTTTGGTTTTGGGGGCGAGGGGTGGTTTGAGACATTTGAGACAGGGTTTTTCTGTGTAGCTTTGTATACCAGACTCACAGAGATCTGCCTGCCTCTGACCCCCAGTGCTGGGATTAAAGGCATGTGCCACCACCACCCAGTGCAAAAGGAAGTTTTTAAAGAGAGCTGTTGTGTCCTAAGCATATTATATGGTGTTTGGCGATAATGTTTTTAAAACAAACAGATGGAAGTTGCCATAATGTGTCTTGACTTTATTACAAGTTTTGATGGTGCATACTGTCAAGATTTAAAAGGAAAATAGCTATAAAAGATGTCTCTCTTTTTTTAGAATTGCTGTTGGAGAGAGAGATGGCTCAGCAGTTAAGAGCCCATATTGATCTTACAGAGGTCCTGAGTTCCAATTCCTAGCACCCACATCAGGCAGCTCACAACTATCTGTAATACCAGCTCTGGGGTATCCAACATCCCTCTGACCTTCTTGGACTCATGCACATGTACAATCAGGCACACACATGTACAAGTAAATACTAATAAAAAGTATTTTTTAAAAGGTGGCAAGGGCTGGGGACATAGCTCAGTAGTTAAAAATACTTGCTACTCTTACAGAAGACCTGGATTTGGTTCCCAGAATACATATGGTGTCTTAGAACTACTCGTAACTCTGGTTCTAGGGAATTTAACATCCTCTTTTGGCCTCTGCAGGCACCAAGCACATATGTGGTTATATATACATACATGCAGGCAAAATACACATAAAATAAGCCTAAAATTGAGTTCCTATCCATAGGCTAGGCTAATGGATGTTTTGATAATTGATGCCAATAGGTGCTACTTTTAATTAGATGTGTTTTATTGACTCTATAAACATAACTGGTGCTCATTTTACTTCTTACTCCAGGGGAGGCAGCTGGCCTGGCCTTAGGTTTGGTTATGTTAGGTTCTAAAAACGCCCAGGCTATTGAGGATATGGTTGGCTATGCACAAGAAACTCAGCATGAGAAGATTCTGCGCGGTCTAGCAGTTGGCATCGCATTAGTAATGTACGGGAGGATGGAAGAGGCTGATGCTCTCATTGAATCTCTCTGTCGTGATAAGGTGAGACCCTATTTGTTTTCTCCCCTCTTTTCTCTCCTATTCTGTAATGTTTTTGAATGCTTTAATAGTCCTCCCCCAACCCCAAGACAGGGTTTTTTGTTTTGTTTTTCAAGATAGGGTTTCTCTGTGTAACAGCCATGGCTGGCCTGGAATTCACTTTGTAGACCAGAATGGCCTGGAACTTAGAGACCCATCTGTCTCTTTCCAGTTTAATAGTCCTTTAATAAGGTTGAATGTTTATTATTTTTTTCATCAGAAAACTGGCATTCTCTATACTTCCTTGAGTGAAGGTTTTCTGATACCTCTTATTTATGTGATGGTATTGTATGCAGCAGGTGGCCAGAGTTACACTCTTCTCTGCGATGTGATCAATACATTAGAAATTATTGGCTGGATTACTAATTAATTTGTTCAGCTATCATACTCCACATTTCTTCCATTCAGTGTTCATGCCCAAGAATTAGATAAGGAAGAAGCAAATTAGAATATGATGATGGCACACATCTCTGTAAGTTCAAAGCTGGCCTGGTCTACAGAGTAGAACTTACAGAGTAAGTTCCAAGATAGCCCGAGTTGCACAGAGAAACCCTGTCTTGAAAAAACAAAAAAGGAGGGGGCAGTATTTTCCCGTTCACTTTGAAAACTACTAATCACAAATGTATTGTTTTAAAGTTCATGGTTCATACATTAAACAAGCCTGCCTCGTGCCTGTGCTACTATAGCTGAGATGTTTGTTTTCAGAGGGGGTTTCACTGCATTGCCCAGGTTGTCCCCCAACAGCTGGACTCAAACCTCCCACCTGAGCCTCTTGGGACCACAGGCTTGCTTCACAATGTCCAGTAACACTCACTTTCGGAAGTAAGTTTAGGATTAATTGGAATTGTTTTTTTCTCAGGACCCAATTCTTCGAAGATCTGGAATGTATACTGTAGCCATGGCTTATTGTGGCTCTGGTAACAACAAAGCTATCCGACGCCTGCTACATGTTGCTGTAAGTGCTCTGCTCTTCTTCAGGGGTAAAGTGGAAGGGAAAGTTTGCAGGTGGACAATAAGAGGTGGAGGTTATCTATACCATATGTCATATATATGATCATCATCAGTGCTCTCAACTTTTGATTGATTCTCATTCATTGGAACAGTAATCCATAATTCAACAGTAGATTGTCAGAATCAAATAGAACGGTACTATGTCAACATGAATAGTTTTCAAAACAGTCAAG